CACAGAGTGGATTCACCTTTCAGTATAGCTGTGTTTTGATTATAGTTCTTTATTACTTGTGGTTCTTTTATGTTTTTTGAAAGTAAAGATGATTTTTGACAAGTGTTCTTAAAATTATCAAAAAAGGTAATTTTTAAGAATTTGGTGGTTTACGGGAAAGAGTTTTTTTTTCTAAATAAATAAAAATTATTTAAAGTTCAAAGAACTACTACTAATATATGAAACAATATTCTTTATTTATATATTTCTTAATATATTTTTTATATTCTATTATTTAAATTAGCCTATATAGTAAATATATAATTGTATAGTTTTCTATTATTCAAAATTTTTTGTTATAATATGAAAATAAATCATACAATTAGAACTTAAAAACCAACTTTTAATTGTTTGAAAGATATTAATTGTATTAATTATAAATAAGTTATATTATATAATACAGAACTCAGTTAAATTAATATATTGTTATTACTTATACATTATATAATAGAAAGATATACACATTCAGATCACTATTATTATATAAACAGATGACACTATTTTTATAATAACAATTTTTTTTTTTTGTAGATAAACATCATTTCTTTATTTTATTTGTATATAACAAGATATACATCATGAAAGAAACAACATTTCTTATATGTTGATACAATGAGTTAAATGCTAGCTTGCTTATAATAACAAAAATTAATATGTATTATATTTATTTTTATTATATAAAAAAGACTAATTTATTAATGTATTATATATACAATTTTTTTAATTATTTATTTTATCTAATCTGATATTATATCTATAAAATTTCCAATTTTATCATATGCAGTATTTTCTTATATTATATAACAACCTTTTTCAAGTCAGATCTATTGTGCAAACATTAATTCTTATAAATTGATTTTTTGACCTCTCTCTAGACTTTTTTAAATTAGATTGAGGTTTGGTAATTGTGTTGGTCATTTTATATATAGTACATAATCCAAATTCCAATTTAAATTCTTTTACAAGTTTATACTTGTAAATTAGTACATTATTCTCTTATAGTATTTCTTCTTTAGTAAACAAAGTTATTGGATAAACAGTATATAAAATAAGATTACTGTGTTTTTTTTATTCATACAAGATAAAATATAGATTAAGTAATATAAATCTTGTCCATTTATATATTCTTAAAACATGATTAATTTTCATTCCCTTTTAATTGTTGCTTGTATACAATTTAAATTATAAAGTTTATTTTTATGAAACCAGATTCAAACATTTCCATTTGAATTAGTACTTATGAAAGATTCATCTATTTATAAAATCTATTGCCAATTTTCTTTGGTTCAGTTTTTGTATATTCTTGCACATTTTAATTGTTTTATATAATTTTTACACTAATAATTAGTTTTCTTTGTGCAATGCATGATTTTTTTTTCTTAAAAGTTCTCATTAAAGTACATAAGTATATGAAAATTTGAATTTTCTGCGAAATTTCTTTGGCAAAGCATGTTTTTTGTAATTGATTTGCACCCACTATTACTTCTTTTAAAGTCAATTTTTTAAGGCAGTTTTTGATTGCTGATAAAAATTGTCCAATCATTTAAACAATTTTGGCAGAAGACATGCCCTCACTTTTAAGCATTTTTATCGTGTGGTGTTTGCCAACTGTAAGATCTTTTTTGAACCTATTCTTTGTGTATAACATGATTTTTTTTATTTAAATAAATAATTAAGACAAACGCAAAAACTTTTATTATTGAAAACAATTACAAAGGCATATATTCGATGCTTCATTATTATGATGTAAAATTTCATAATTCTTCGGACAATTATCAAAATTGAGTAAATTACCAGAAGAACGAAAATAGCATAAATAATTGAACAAAAGACATTACATAATATACTGCAAAGCATATATTTTTGTGATTATAGTTTATCTTGTCATAGTTTATTTGGTTTATTATTATATTATTTATTGTGCTGTATTTTAAACATGCTTACTGTATAAGCGATGAAAATATTGAATAATTGATTTGGGAGTTTTGAGAACTTTTGTAAGATATTCTAGGAATTTCGGATCAAATAAATATTCCAAAAATGAAATAATTAATAAAGTTTACGGAAATAATTTTATTAAAGTAAAGCAGATAATAATATTCCTCTTCATCACTGCTAACACTATATGCACATTAGAAACTCTCATCAGCGAAAAGAGTTTACTAGTTACATAGCGAAAGCACCAATAAAAACCGGTGATATAAGCATATGGCCATTCATTCCAGAAGAAATGCTACAAAGATAATAAACGTATGAATACCATGACTCTTATATAATAATAACCAGTGGCTTAATAGTAGTGCATACGAAAAAAAAAAAGTTTCGAATACCGAAGGTCCCTATAAATAGACCTTTAGAATAACTTGTAGAATTTGAAATCCTCTCCCGCCTCGAAATAATTACCCAAATGCAAATTCTGCAATTGCTAAATATATTAGAATGATAGGAAAAGAAATAATAAAAGCTAGTTTCCTAGACCACCATAATAAAATTTGTAACATTTTCTGAGGAATTCTTTTATCAATAATTTGAAATACTTCATATTCTTCTATTTCAAAAGTTTCTCTGTCAATAATTTTCTTCTCGTAAGAGTGTTTTCTGCTATTACAAACAACACTATTAGAAGAATCCGATAACATAATGCGTAAGTCTTGCATGCCAAAGCACGGTCCTTTACTTTTGCACAAAATGATTGCCTTTTTTTTTATAGAGACTCGGCTTAATATCGGGTTTTCTCGATTTGTTAATGAAAATATAAAACTATTTGACGTTTTGCATTCATAATCTGATTGAAATATAGTTTCTTCTGTTATTTCTGTACTCCATTTTAACGGATTGTATCCACCAATTATTTCCTCTGAATCGCGAACTTTGATAATGACAACTGTTGGCCCCATTTTGTCGCAATTTTCATGAAAATATTTAATCTCAAAACCGTCACGGCTAGCACGGTAAATAAGTTTAAACTCAAAAGGCATATTTGCAAAATGGTATACCATTCTTCGCTTAACAATCCAACTTGCTATCAGCCCAACATCTTTTGCATCAATAATATTTGATTTTAGTGGATATTTTCTTAATGGCAAAATGTTGATTGAGGGTTTAAAATTAGGATCCGAAAAATATTGAATAATTTCATCGTCAAAACCATCTGGTAAAATACCCTTAAAATGAACTCTAAGTTTCTTATATTCTCCAGGTGACATATGAAAGAATCGTATGTAAGGAATACAATTACGCAGAGTATTTTTTAGGTCCATGAAATTTTCCGCTGTCCATTTTTTCAAATTGTCATCAAAGATAGAATCAGTATTCTTGATCCCCCATTGGATTAGGTATTTCCAAATTTCAATTTCGTCTAATTCAAGATCATCACATTTCAAAAGATCAATGAAATTGCTTTCTCCTATATTAGAGAAATATTCCGATTTAAAAACAAGCATAGGATTTCTGCATGCCAATTTTATTGCGAATTTATACAATTCAATGAAGTGATCGTGCCGAATAACTGTAACTATATCCCCTTGTTTCCAAACTGCCTCCTCATCAAGCAAGCGTCTTTCAAGTTGTTGATAAATTTCAAGTAGTTGAAGCTCGTCACTCGCAAAAGCAATATCAACGAAACTAACTTCATTATTATCGACTGAAATTACCCCCGTATAAATATATCTGTTTGCATTTATATTTTAAGAAAACAAATTAATTTTATATTGACGCATTTATACAATATGACGTAAAAATAGACTTACTTTAAAAGAACATTAAATACCGAAGGCGAAATATTAGGTTTTTTGAAAACAATAATTCCGTTTTCCGCTCTTTCCCATTGTGAAGAAAATGCGCGTTTGAAATAATCCGATCTACTAGTTAAGATGAACTTATGTGCTTTAAATTCTTTGACGTTTGGTTCTTCACCGACTAAAATTTTTACGTTGTAACCTTCAGGATTTTCGAATAAGTTTGCAAAATCTATAGATACTGAATTGTCCATATTTTACGTTGAAAAGGGTATCTTGCAAAGAAAATTTAGTAATATCCAAAAATATTATATGTGGTTTTCTGTCCTTATTTTTAAATACTGCAATGCGTATATAATATAAATTTCGGGATCACAAAAATCTTTGCACTTCCGAAAATAATTACTCATTTGCACGCTTCATATGAAGAATTTTATGACGTCAACAATGTACAGTACAACAAGCTACAAATATAAATTTGTACACAATTGGTTTGCTGAATAAAAATTGGCACTAACTTAATTCTTTCGTTCAAAGCTTAAAGAAACTGAAGACCATGTACGTCTGGAGCAGGGCATAAATTCTACTGCAAAACGGATGCGAAAATCGATTAATTTGGTTAGTATTAAAAATAATTTTAGAATTGCACCTAAAAATAAATTGGCGGAAATTGATTAATTTTGTTAAAAATCACGGGATAAGTAATACTTTATAAGGTAAATATCACATGGACTAAAAAAATTCGGTTTATCGAGAGTTGACTAGCATATACAATAATATTATCATTTTCCGACTTTTTAGTCATCCTGAATCAAAATACTCTTTTAATTCTCAATATATATACTATATATATATATATAAACAATCGAAGCTATCATTTGTTCTAATTATATTATTGGAATTTACAAAGAGCCACAAGGGTATAATCTTTGATTTAATAAAAAAGGAGCCATGGACCACAAAGAGGAAGAGGAAATATTTCAATGGTACCTGAAGTTTGTTGAAGGCGGTAATCATCAAGGACAATGTAATCTTGGATTTTGTTATGAGAATAGAATTGGAACTACAAAAGACGAAGAGAAAGCATTTTATTGGTATCTAAAATCTGCTGAAGGCGGTAATAATCAAGGACAATGTAATCTTGGATATTGTTATGATAATGGAATTGGAACTACAGAAGACGAAGATAAAGCATTTCATTGGTATCTAAAATCTGCTGAAGGCGGTAATCATCAAGGACAATGGAGTGTTGGAATTTGTTATGAGAATGGAATTGGAACTACAAAAGACGAAGAGAAAGCATTTCATTGGTATCTAAAATCTGCTGATGGCGGTAATCATCAAGGACAATGTAATCTTGGATATTGTTATGATAATGGAATTGGAACTACAGAAGACGAAGAGAAAGCATTTCATTGGTATCTAAAATCTGCTGAAGGCGGTAATAATATAGGGCAATGCAGTCTTGGATATTGTTATGATAATGGAATTGGAACTACAAAAGACGAAGAGAAAGCATTTCATTGGTATCTAAAATCTGCTGAAGGCGGTAATCATCAAGGACAATGTAATCTTGGATATTGTTATAATAATGGGATTGGAACTACAAAAGACGAAGAGAAAGCATTTCATTGGTATCTAAAATCTGCTGAAGGCGGTAGTAATGAAGGACAATGTGCTCTTGGATTTTGTTATGTGAATGGAACTGGAACTACGAAAGATAATGATAAAGCATTTTATTGGTGTCTAAAATCAGCCGAAGGTGGAAGTATAGTGGCGCAAAATAATCTAGGAGAATTCTATGAACGCGGAATTGGGACGATAAAAGACGAAAAAAAGGCATTTCAATGCTACTTGAAATCTGCAGAATGTGGAAATAATTTTGGTCTATATAACGTTGGAAATTGTTATGAACATGGAATAGGAACATCAAAAAATCATGAGAAAGCATTTCAATGGTATTTAAAATCTATTGAAAATGGAAATAAATGGGTCCCGTATTCGCAAATTCAAAACATTAATTACTTGACGCGCGGAGGTTTTGGGGAAATATTTAAAGCCAACCTTATTCAAGAATCTGGAATGGGCCTCAAAGTAGCCCTTAAAAGTTTATTCAGTTCCGGGAATATTACCATGGATTTTTTAAAAGAAGTATGTTTAATCAATAATTTATTTATGCTATTATATTGCAGTTTTTATTTTAATTGGTGTTTTTACGATATATTTTTATTTTCTTGTACATATGATAGTTATTAACTAATGAAATGCTAGCTAAGGGTGTAAGTAAATATGTTATTAAATGCCTGGGTATTACAAAAGATCCAGTCACGAATGTTTATATGATGGTGTTAGAATATGCAGAAGATGGAAGTATGTATCAATATTTATCAAGATATTTCGAAGAAATCACATGGAAAGAAAAGATTGAAAAGCTGAGTTATATTGCAGAAGGGTAGATATCTACGTGTAAATTCAATTCTGGTTTAATCGATTAGAATTAACGTTTATTTACACTTTAGGTTTGAAGAAATTCATAAAAGGGCATTGATTCATTGTGATATTCATTCAGGGAATATTTTAATGGGAGTTAACGGTGTTTCTGGTTCTATTAAAATAGCCGACCTGGGTTTATGCAAAAATAGGGAAACTTCTGATGATGAAAAAATATTCGGTGTGATACCTTATTTAGCACCCGAAATATTGAAAGACTATCGGTTTACTCAAGCATCTGATGTGTATAGTTTTGGAATGCTAATGTGGGAATTTACGTCAGGTCATCGACCATTTCAAGATAGAGGACACGATTGTTTTCTTATAGGAGATATTATTAGTGGATTGCAACCCGATATTACAAAAGATACACCACCGGTTTTTGAAGATTTAATAAAAAAATGTTGGAGTAGTGATCCAAATATTCGGCCGAGTATGAGGCAAATTAAACAACAACTTAATAAATGGCTTCTAGATAAAGAGGACGAAGAGAGCTTTGTTTCTGCCGAGAAATATCGAAAAAATTTAATAGAAGAGAGAAAAATCAAAGAAAATATTGACGCTGGAAACTTCGAAGCGTATTATACAAGTAGATTTTTAAATCCCATAATTACTTCACACGGTAAGTATTTATATAATGGTAATCATTAAAAATTAATTTAATAACAAGGTTAACATGTAAATATTTTATTCGTAAAAGAAGATAGTAGGTCCTTGGAAGGTATTATAAAACTTAAAATATGAATAATATATAAGGGGTGTAACTAATAATTGAATTTTATTATATCTAGATATTAAATATAAATCCGTACAAGAAGACCTGGAAATCAATTTTAACTAAAATTTAATTCTCTACCATAAAAATTTTCGTCGGATATTATTTTTTGTGACGAGTATTATTACATGTCGCAAATATGAGAAGGATATTAATTAATAATATTAGAGACTCATTTACTGTATATGGTATACTATAATAGACAATTTATTAAAATAAATCAGCCAACGCATAACGCGAATAATTTTATCTACTAAGAAATGAAAACTATCGTAAGTCCGAAGCTAATACTGTGTGGGCATCAGAGGATTGGGTAGAAACGAATCAAATTATCTGGCAGGAAAAGCGTTAATATACTGTATATACAGTACTACTCTGACAAATTTAGATATTTCCAACAGCAGTATAGAAAAATAAATAGTAAGAGCACCCTCAACAATTTAAATTTACAGAGTAATAATTTAGGAGAATTTGAAGGAAAAGCACTAGCCTAGTTATTGTGCAAGAATATCACCCTGACCAATTTATATATCGGTTATAATAATTTAGAATTAGAAGAAAAAGCACTAACATGCTAAACGAAAAATAACATACTGAACAATTTAAATTTGTAATGTATATTCGGGAGGAAAAACACTGCCGATAAACTGTACAAGAATACCACCATGACTAATTTAGATATCAGCTTTAATAATTTAGAAGAAACTAAAAGCACTAGCCGAAGCACTATGCAAGAATAACATCCTGACCAATTTAGATATTGTCGTGGGCTATCCGGCGAGCCCACACTACTTTTCGTCGCTTCGGTTCACAATAAGATAAGTTTCTACCTCTTGAGGCGTGTTTCCGATTTGGCCATTCTTACTCCAACCCTTTATCGACTTATATAGAACCCTTCCTATGCCAATTCCCTTAGGCAAACTTCGGTTCTCTCGCTTAGTCGCGTAGCACGAGTTACAAGTATTTCGGCACACAAGAAAACAAGGTAAGAGTTTATTTACAAACCTAACTTTATTGTCTAAATGCTAGTGTGTTCTTAACTAACTCGAATTCGCCAAAATCCCCCCTACATGCTACAGTACTGAATTGCGCATGTATTTATACATGCGCCTATTGTGTTTCCGATTTGGCCGTTCTCTCACTTTAACTTCTCTACCGACTAGCCTAGAACTCTTCCAATGCCAATTCCCTTAGGCAAACCTCGGTTCTCTCTTGTAGTCGCGTAGCCCAAGTTACAAGTCTACTTTGGCACACTAAACACAAGGTAATAGTTTATACTTAAACGTTACTTTATTGATTATTACTAAGACGTTACTAACTCTAAATCAAACTTTCTTTCTCGTCTACATGCGCCCGTTATTTACATGTTTACATCTGGTCGCTATTCTACACTACTCTAGAAATTTCCGCCACTAAACTTTCCCACACTAATTTCCCACCTTAATTTCCCACAGATTACGACAACAGGATGACGTAACGTGATATCGCGTCGCATACATATGCGATATTGCCCATGACAAAAGCATCTCCTTTTCATTCTACCCATTACACATATCTAATCTTATTGATATAGTAGTGTCGTGGATCGGGGTTGATGATACAGTCAGCGCACAATCCTTGACCTCGCGATGCTTTCGGTCAAGGGGTTCAGGTACGTTTACAGAAGGGTAAGGCAGAAAAAAGGCGTAGATTTTGTGATTATGTGTAATTTAAAAGGATTTTATCAACATCTGGTAACTTTATTCATGTCCCATTTTCTCTTTTAAATTGCATCATTATATACACAAGCTCACAAAAAAAAAAAAATAGTAATTACCTGCCAAAAAATTTTTGTGAGATTTTTTTCTGTTCAAGCATTATACGGTAAACAAGTATGATCAGTTGGGAATTCTGTTAAAAACTTAGTAATTGACCTCAGCTAATTACTGATTCAATGACTTTATGAAGGTTTTTGTAATCTTCGTTAACTTCTCTTAGAGGTTGTTCAAACTTCTATGTCTTCAGTTCATTGGCTTTGTTAGTGATGAGTGATACCAATTTCCTGGTATTTTCGAAGGTGGTATTTTTAATAGTGACAATTACTTTGGCGATGGCCCTGAGTAACACTATTAATAGGTGACCTAGAACGTAGCAAAATAAACATATGTAAATTTGCGGGCATTTGTATGGGAACAACTTTTTGCTTTGTAAAGCAAATGTATGGTAAGAATAATTTTGTCGCTGTTTTCGATATCACATTATGTGATGCGTGTCTGAGAAATTTTCTTCTGATTTTTTCAAAAAAATTTCAAAATTTCAAATTTGTAGCTCTCGGTGATGATCTGGGATACTGTAATTATGTACGGATTTTTACTGTATATAGTAATACTATTGTAACGGTGTAACGGCGAGTCAGTCGCTAACTCTAGCAGAGATTCGCGTAACCGTTACTAGGTAAATAAATGAAAGGGTGATTTTAGGAGTGTTTGTATTTGACCGAGTCTTTATTAATTTTCTCACTGAATTCCTTTTCCTCCTCCTTTTACACTTTACATTCTTTTATACTTCTCTTTCTTTACATTTGGCTATGGCGGCTTGGGTATAGAATAATACAATGACGGGGCTTTAAAGCCATCTTACATAATTTCTTTCATCAATTTCTTTCGTCGCTCGATATTACTAATTATTACAGCCGACTTACCATTGTCACGACTATTGGTCACGTGACTAACGTCGCGTCCCATTTCTCCCTGTTACACTATTCATTTCACTGAGTTGCTTTTTATGAAGCATTTTACATGTTGCTCATGTATTTTCTGTACTTCTAACAAAGAAATCTGATCGGCGGATGATGTAAGGTGGGTCAAAATTAGTTCTTTGTGACATAGAACACACAGGGATTTATCACACATATAAAGGTTTTGATAGTTAAATGAGCACACTTGCTGCCTTTATTTAATGAAAGCTAAGTATATTTATACATGTTTTTTATTATCCTCTTTATTATAATTATCCTCATCACGGTATAAGATCGCGTGGGAAATCACCTCTTTTCCTTATAACAAGATATCATGTACATTTTATTAGTGTTTAGAATTTTAATTATTTATATTTCGTAATTATTTATATTATGTAATTATTTATATTATCGCCAATTTTTTATACTAGAACAGATCCCGGCGTTTAAAAAAAAAAAAGAATGCGCATGAAAACAAGGTATAATAAAAAATCTATCTGTGATGCTTTTTTTAGCCATTATGTTTAATAAATATTTTTTGGATAATCGATTCGTAATCTCGAGCCGGGCTTGGTGTTAGGTTGACCGACAATATGATTTTGATAAGACACAGAAGAATGTGACTGCATACACATCGCACCAGATCGATGCATAGAAGGCTATAATTTTTAATAAACATAACGTTTTTTTTTGGTAATCCAATAATGATATCGAGCGAGAATAATGCAAATTTCGCTACTCAGATCTTTGCTATCTCGTTTATCTTCAATAGCTCATTCCTCGATTACTCACCTTTTTCTCTTTTTTATACTCTTTTATGCAATGATTTAATGTCGAAAATAAAATATGGCGTGGGCTGAACAGACAATGAGAGATGCTATTAGAACTTTCCGGTTGCTTTACGTCGCTCTTGAAAAAAATTAAATCCAAATAAAATCAAATAAAAAATATCGCATTATTATATTTAAAAAGTTAATAATTACATAAATACTTTATTATATTTATAAGTTTCGAAATTATAGTAAGAATCAGAAATATGATAGTATAGGTAATTGCCTTAAACCCCCACATAAAAAATCGAAATGTTTTTTTGATATATTGAGAAGATCTCTTATCAATAATTAGAAACACTTCGTATTCATCTATTTCAAAAATTCCATCAACTATTTCATTTTTGTAAGAGTATCTCATGCTACTACAATTGACTTTAGTTCCCGATGATCTGATGCACAAATCGTGTAAACCAAAGCACGGTCCTTTACTTTTGCCCACAAAGATTGCATCTTTTGTAGAAAAGACTCGACTTAATATCGGAGCTTCTCTATTTGTTAATGAAAATATAAAACTGTCTGACGTTTCGTATAGATAACCAAACTCATCATCCGTTTTTACACAAAACCACTTTAATGGATTGTATCCGCCAAGTATCTCTGTTGAATTGCGAACTTTAATGACCACAAGTGTCGGTCCCTGATTATCACAATTTTTATGAAAATTTTCAACCTTGAAACCATCACGACTAGCACGATAAATGAGCTTGAACTTAAAAGGCAAATTTCTAAAATGGTACGGTGTTTCTTTCCTATCTATCCAGCTTGATATTAATCCTGCATCTTTTGCATCGATAATATTTGATTTAAGTAGATACTTTCTTAATGGTAAAATGTTAATTGAGGGTTTAAAATTAGGATCCGAAAAATATTGGGTGATTTCATCATCAAGACCTTCTGGTAAAATGTCCTTAAAATGAACTCTAACTTTTGTATAGTCGCCAGATGACATTTGAAAGAATCGTATGTGAGGAATACAATCACATAGAGTATTTTTTAGATCCATGAAATTCTCCGGTGTCCATTTTTTTAAATCATAAACTAAAATGGAATTGGTATTTTCGATTCCCCATCGAATTAGGTATTGCCAAATTTCAATTTCGTCTAATTCAAGATAATCAGATTTCAAAATATCAATAAGATTAGTTTCTTTTATGTTAAAGAAATCTTCTGATTCAAAAATAATTTTAGGATTTCTGCATGCCAATCCTATGGAAGCATTATACAAGAAAGTTAAATGATCGTGCTGAAGAACTGTAAAAATGTCGTTTGGTTTCCACGCTAATTCATCATCAAGCAAACGTCGTTCAAGTTGTTGATAGGCCTCGTGTAATTGGAGCTCGTCACTCGCAATTGCGATTTCAACGAGGCTCACTTCACTGTTTTCAACGGAGATTACTCCTGTATAAATGTACCTGTTTACATATATATTTATGGAAATAAATTAATTTCATTACACTGTTTCTTTTATAAAAATAACATGAAAATAAACTTACCTTAAAAGAACCTCAAATACCGAAGGCGAAATATTTGGTTTTTTGAAGATGGTAATTCCATTTTCTACCTGTTCCCATTGTGAAGACAACGCAGTTTTAAAATAATCTGATCTACTTGTTAAGATAAACTTATGTGCTTTGAATTCTTTAACATTTGTTTCTTCACCGACCACAAATTTTACGTTATAACCTTCAGGATTTTCAAATAACTTGGCCAAATCTATAGTCAATAAATCGTCCATATTTTAAGCGCAAAGGGGTTACAGTATCTTGCAAATAGAATTTGACGCACAAATTTGAATTGCACTACAAGGTACTGTATGCATCATGAAAATTTATTAGTAAAAAAATTTCATGTGCAACATAATTTTGACAGGTACGACGTCGATGAGAGTATAGAGTTGCGTATTGCATCTGTGCAAGTAACTCTTGCGTTTCGAAGGCAGAAAGAGGCATACCTTTGGTGAGTTCGTGACGTATAGGACAGTTTCTTTGGTCTTTGTTATAGAAGATAGCCTGAGTTTTATCCTTATATTTTGACTAAGAACAAAAAATAAAGAATTTGAAAATTAAAAAATTTTAAAAAAATCTAGAAAAAATATCTAGTTATGACCATATGTTGCTTCTTTAGGGAATTTAATTAAACCTGTCAATATTACATAATATGTCAAAAATATAAATAAAGTGAATAATTGATTTACTGTGGGAAACGGCGAGTCTGTCGCTTGCACGCAGGTCTTGTCGCTGCACGTCACACAACAGCTAGGTAGGACTACTTTGTACTATTTAGCTATATGGTTCGTATCGTCACTAACACTTGCTTCTTCTTATCTTGTAGGCGAAAGAGGCGATTGGATTTGACCGATCTTCTTCCGTAAGTCACGTGATCACGGACGAAGCAAAATTACAACACTGAAAAATAGAACACACAGGGGTTATCACACAGATAAAGGGTTCAATAATTAAATGAGCACACATGCTGCCTTTATTTAAGGTTATTTTTATTACCTTTATTATTTACGTAAATGAATAAATCATATAAATGAAAGACAAATTGAAAATAATAACAATAACAAATTTTTTTTTGAAAAATTGAAATTTTTAGTTGCATCTTTCTATAATTGGGTTTTATTAATTGTACTAGTACACAAATTTACTAAAAAGAAATATCATAAACTAAAATAATATTGGAGTCACCTGTGCAAGTCTACCAAACCTAAAATTTCTATCTATAAAATAATTAAAGTTAATGTTTGCTTGTCTATAAAAAATAAATTATATTTATATTATCTCAAAATTTATTGTATTGATTTTTATAATAGAACTTTGGAAAATTAAAAAATATATACAACAATTTAAATTAAATAATCAAAAAAAACTATTTGAAAAATCCAATTTATTTAATGATCATCATTTCTGAATTATTTATTATTACTTGTGATTAGCTATATTATTTAATTTTTCTTAAACTTTTATTGTTTAAAAATATTTAAAAATGTTTTCAAAAATGTTTTCTTGAAATTTTATACTTAGAGATTTTAATAGAACAAGGATTGATTTTTTCATTGATATTTTATTTTTCAAATTATAAATTTCTAGAATTATTGTTTTTATTTTACCTGTGACTAATTTCAATTCCTTTTTTCAAACTATTTTTGAAACAATGGATAAATTGCCTTAATTTTTATTAAATTAGAAAACATATTTTTTTTTTACTTTTTTTAAATGTTAACTTTTTATATATTCTTTAAGTATTTTATATATTTGATAATAAAATATTAATCAATTATTATTTAAAGATTTTAATATAATCAAAAAAAAAATAGAATTAAATCAAAATAAGTAAAAAATTTTAAAAAACTTTTAAAAAAAAATTATATAAAAAATTTTTGATAAAATCAACTCTGTTAAAAACACTATTTTAAAAATAGGTTTTTTGAATTTAAAACTTTGGCAAATAATTCTGATTATATTTTTATTGTTATATATATTTATATTGATTCAAGATACAATTTATTAAAATTTATATACAGTATATATTTTTATTATATTACTATAATTCTTTTAAAATCATTAAAAGATAATTAAAACAACAATTAAAATATCAACTGTTGACCAATAAATATAGTTGTAAACATATAAATTGTCATTATATAAATAGATAAGATTATATTTAAATTTGTTTTTATTTTTAATATATTTATATATAATAATATAATTAACTTCAAATAATACTGATAAGATAATAAACAAAATAAATTAAGAATAAAATAAATAAATTTAGAATTGTAGATTATATTTTTATATTTTGCATATATCTCAAAGAAATAATAAAATTAAAATTAAAACCTAAACTTACAGTGATTGTTTAATACATGTATTACTTGTAATTTGTATTGTACAAACAAGATAGAACCAGGTTTGCCTAAGACTTGGAAATATATAATGTTCAAGAACAATTTTCTGATTGGACAAAGTTACACTAGTAAAGTCAAAACCACCTCAGGAGTTAAAGCGTTTCTTTTATTGATGTTTTGTTGAATGCAACTTAAGTTGAAACATGATATAGTGACAGACTTACCAACAATCCAGTAACAATATACATTGCACTTTCAGGTGAAAAGCAATGAAAGTTTTTGAATTTATTGTATATTATTTTTATTCAATCAATAAAAATAAAATAGAAAAAATTTAATTGTTAATACTAAACATTTAAGTTTTGTAAACCTTATTATGGCTATTCATATAATCACGTCACACTTATTTAAACTTGGAGATCATGTTCTCGTCAAATACATGACATTTTATTATTGTTTACTTCATCTATTATGCACACTAGAAACTTATATACGAATGTCATTATTTATTATAGCATTGTTTTGAAGTATTGCGCCACCAAGAATTCAATTATTTTCTAATGCTTTAATTAGCCAAAGATCCATTGCTTCTTTTTATTATGATAAAAAAATTTTATAATGTAATTTTTTAACAATAAAAAAGCAACATTTAAAATCAGATAAAAATAATTTTATTTTTTATTTTTTTTTAAAATATATTTCTACGCAAATATTTGGATATTATGATGAATCAGTTGCTCACAATATATTCAATGAATTATTTGAACACATGTGTAATTTAATTAACAATGAACGAAATTAAGAAAATTATGGGTGAGAAATTAAAATGGTGTAGATACAGTAATTAGAAAAACAAATGTTTCCGAAAAATTTAATTGAAAGTACAGTAAGTGTTCTAATAATCAATCAAATTTTATCACATATAACCCAAATCTGACCCGACGATCTCAGGTTGGGGGTTGATGATCGACCCGATCCAAACCCGAAAATTATTACTGTAAATGGGTCATATCGGGTTAAACCCAAACCCGACCCGAACTGACCTATTTGGAACACTATACAGTATCACAGGTATTCTTCCGGTCTATATTTAATTCTCTCTTAAATCACAATTACTGTATCAGTGTATAAAATGTGGTGCCACTCCTGCCACGTGACCTCAATCGCAAGAGTATTGCGAGAGACCCGTTTAGACCGGTAGCATGTGATAGTATTGTGATAGAATGTTATTTAATAAAGGAAGAATCGTCGCACATTGCGATATTTTGTAGTTAAAAGACTAGGAATATAATATTATGTAATAAAGAGATTGTGACAAGCAATTATGATAAAATTAATGTAATAGGAGAGAATTGTGAAAAGACCTTAGGTAATCGATTTCTCCATACTATTTATTACGATAGTTTCCCCAACTCATATATAAAAAACAAAAAAAGAAAATGTATGAAAGGAGTGAAATAAAAGACAAGAAGGGAGTGATTTCATTTACTCAGTCAAACAAAGACTCGCCTCATAACTTTTCAATTACTTAACCACCTTCTAACATATGATCTTTCTTTATTATTTGTCTTAGACTATTTACTCCATAATTACATCAGGATTCTGATTTTTCTAAATAGTTATACGACGCGTCACAAAGTCGCGTAAATATGCCTACAGTAGGAATTAAATAATTTCCATAAAGGAAAGAATAGAGCAGCAAGTTGCGTAATGATTATGCAAATAATAAAAGCAAAAATACACAAACAATACTGTATAATAAATTATAAAAATATTTTAGCATTATAATTTTAAAAATTTCTTTAAACGTAATCGATATTTAGACATTTTTGTGGAAAGTCTTTCATCAATAATTTGAAACACTTCGTAATCTTCTATTTTATAAACTCCTCTGTCGATAATTTCCTTCTCATAAGAATATACTTTGCTCTCGAAAATAAGATAGTTACGATATACTGTTGAATCGATAAGCAAATCATATAAACCAAAGCATGGCCCTTTTCCTTCGCAACAAAGGATCGCCAGTTCTTTAGAAGAGACTCGACTTAATATCGGAGTTTCTCGATTTGTTAATGAAAATATAAAACTATCTGAAATTTTATATTTACTATTAATACGAGAAAAACTTTTGTATTCCATTTCATAACCCCATTCTAATGGATTGAATCCTCCAACTATCTCTCCAGATTTGTAAACTTTAATGACTACAAGTGTTGGACCTCGATTATCACAATTTTTATGAAAATTTTCAAACTTGAAACCATCACGACTAGCACGATAAATAAGCTTAAACTTAAAAGGCAAATCTCTAAAATGGTACGGCATTTCTTGCCTATCTATCCAGCTGGCTATCAATCCTGCATCTTTTGCATCGATAATATTTGATTCAAGTAGATACTTTCTTAATGGTAAAATGTCAATTGAAGGTTTAAAATTAGGATCCGAAAAATATCGAGTAATCTCATCATCTAGACCGTCTGGTAGAATATCCTTAAAATGAGCTCTAAGTTTTATATAATCGCCATGTGACATGTGAAAGAATCGTATGTGAGGAATACAATTACGCAGTGTATTTTTCAGGTCCGTGAAATTCTCCGGTGTCCATTTTATTAAATTATAATATAAGATCGAATCGGTGTTTTCTATCCCCCATTGAATTAGGTATTCCCAAATTTCAATTTCGTCTAATTCAAGGTCATCACATTTCAAAAGATTAATGAGATGAGCTTCTTTCATATTAAAGAAATCTTCTGATTCGAAAATAATTTTAGGATTTCTGCACGTGAATTCCATCGAGACATCATACAATTTAGTGAAATGATCATACCCAAGAGCCGCGATAAAGTCTCTTGGCTTCCAAATCAAGTCATCTTCAAGTAATCGTTTTTCAAGTTGTTGACAGAGTTCAAGCAATTGAAGCTCGTCGCTCGCAATAATAATATCAACAAGACTAATTTCATTGTTTTCCACGGAAATTACACCAGTATAAATGTACCTACAGTATTTAAATTTACATTTATTGAAAAAATTAATTTTAACATCGTTTTTATAAAAAAGACAAAAAAAAAATAAGCTTACTTTAAAAGAGTTTCAAATACCGAAGGCGAAATATTAGGTTTTTTGAAAATGTTGATTCCATTTTCTACTCTTTCCCATCGTAAAGACAATGCACTTTTAAAATAATCTGATCTACTAGTTAAGATAAACTTGTGTGCTTTGAATTCTTTAACGTTGGGTTCTTCACCAACTATAATTTTTACGTTATAATCTTCATGATTTTCGAATAACTTTTCAAAATCCAATGTTACTGAATCAATATTTACTGGATCGTCCATATCTTAAATGAAAAAAAGATATCTCGCAAAGAAGATTTAGCACACAAATTTCGTTGACATTACTGTACTAGTTAATATGGGATAAATCGTATGAATTTTATGTACAACACAAAGAAATTCAACCAATGGTCGAACGTTGAGGATGATTGGGAAATGTACAAACGAGTGAAATTAGTAATTTACATGTATGCAATGTAATCAACTTATTATCAGCAGCCTTCAATATAGTAGTAACAACGTACAACATAAAAACCCAGGACACTGCATGAGGACGATGCAAAATAATTTGCTGTGCATAAAAGTCTATACAATATACAGTAATGATAATAAAGTATTAGACTCGTGCATACATTGTTATTTTGTAAAATGAAGGACTTTGATTTAGCGCAACAAATAAGTCTTAAAATAACAAATAATGAATATTTATTAAGACATTAAAAATAATCAATTTATTTAAAAAATAATTTTAGAAATAAAATAATTTTATAATATTAACAAATTTATTCAATTTTGTTTTTTTATCGGTAAATTTTTTTTTACAAAAAATATTTTTAATAATTTGATTGTTTACGGAGTAGCCTGACCACCAATTCCAAAGTTTGAACAAGACCCTGTCGGTAACAAATAATCGTACTGACTTAACCCATAATATACTGACCCTACCTTGTTTCTCGTACCTATCACTGCAGTCTGGGATTCTTCGTCAACTACGATTTGATCAAAGTTTGCAACATCCATCATTAGCACCCTATTTCTTCCTCTTAAATTATAATTCTCATATGAATGTCCACCTGACCTTGCGACTACTGAAGTTTCCAATTGGTTACCGCAATTTACTGATTCTTGTACATATAAAACATTGGCAGCATAAACAATTGCTATAGGATAATGAATTATTCGACAATTGCAACCTTTTATGTTATAATATTCATCATCGTCACGGTATAAGATTTTTTCAGTGACGTATTTAAGATGAGATCTAAGAATTGTGAATTCGGGTGGTTCAGATGGTATCTTTGGAATGTAGGAAGGACATTTGATACATAAAGAAACTAATGGCATGAATTTGAACTAGAAAATGGAAACCATTGTGAGTCCGAAGCTAATAAGTTTATTATTGAATTTTAATTTTATTATATTAATTAT